GTGCTAATTTCTATGGAGTTAAAACATCACTGTTGTCCTGAGTTATGTTAAGTTTCCAATTGCTTCAGTAACAAGCTACCATAAACTGAGCGGCTTAAAACAACATAAATCTATTAACTTACAGCTCTAGAAGTCAGAGCCTGAAATGGGTCTTCCTGGGCTAAAATCAAGGCATCACCAAGGCTCTGTTCCTTCTGGAGTCTCTAGGAGATAATCTGTTTCTTTGCTTTTCCCAGCTCATAAAGCCTGCCTAAATTTCTTTGCTCATTTATTCTCTGACCCAGGAAGGGACATTAAGGTAGGAAAAGTCAAGTGGATGATTGGTACTGACCCTGCACAACAACATGGAAAACTAAAAGTAGTACTGCATCCATAAGTGCAGAAATTAGTGCCACTATGTAAAAGTCTAAAAGATGCAGAGGAGCTGGTTCCCGTATCCCATACTCAAATAACTTGCCCATTCAGCTTGTGCAAAACTAGGATGAGTTATGGAAAATAACTCAGTTGCCGTTTCAGATGTGGTAACTTTACTGAATCAAACAACATGGGCATCTGAGCTGTTCACCTGCAAACACTTTTTCCCCTGAGTGTAAATTAGTGAGAGTAATCTAAAATAATTTGCCTTCTCCTGGAAGGAATAGCAGTATATTTTCACCATATTATTCCAGGGCAATGTCAACTCTTGCTTTCTGTCATATTAAAATCTCCCAAAACCTTGATCATCTTGCCATCCCACAGACCATCACATTAGGCCACTACACTGATGACCATGCTACATGGACCTGATGAACAAGAACTGGTAAATTCCTTACATGCTTTAATAAGACAAATGTGGGCACAGGGTAGAGAATAAAATCCATGGAAAATTTGCAAAGTTTCAAGGGATTCAGTGGTCTGGAACATGTCAAGGTATCCTTTCTAATGTGAAAGACAAGTCACTACACCTTGTACACCCACCATGAAGAGGAGCACCACTTGCCAGAACTCTTTGGATTTTGGAGACACCATGTGCTATACTTGGCTGTACTTCTCCAGTCATTTACTCAGTAACATATAAGGCTGTCTGTTTTGAATGGGCCCTGAAGCAAAAGAGGGCTCTGCATGTTTAGGCTGCAGTGCAAGTTGTACTTGGATCTTATGACCTATCAAACACAATACTTATTTAAAATGTATGTGGCAGCCAGAGATACTGTATGAAACCTCTGGCAAGCCCCAATGGGAGAATCACAGAAGATATATGACTTTCAGAGCAAAGTCATATACTCTTTGCCAATTTATTAGTTATGTATTGTTGCATACTAAATTACTTCCAAAATTTAGGGGCCATCTTGGAGGCTGCCTACAATAGCCAGTGACAATTCATTATTTGACAAGCAGCAACTCTCTTACTACTGGGCTCTTGTAGAGACTGAAAGCATGATCATGGATCAGAATATTTTTCATTCACTAGGGCTGCTACAACACAGTACCACAAATTGGGTAGCTTAAACAACAGAAACTTATTATCTCTTAGTTCTGGGAATAAGTCCAAAATTGGTAGATCACACAATTGGTTCCTTCTGAGGACTGTGAGAGAAAGATCCACTGTGATATGGCTTGGCTGTGTCCACGCCAAAATCTCATCTTGAATGGTAGCTCCCATAATTCCCACATGTTATGGGAGGGACCCAGTGAGAGGCAATTAAATCATAGGGGACATGTCTTTCCCATGCTGTTCTCATGATGGTGAATAGGTCTCACGAGATCTGATGGTTTTATGAAGGGGAGTTCCCCTACACAAACTCACTTGCCTGCCACCGTGTAAGACATGACTTTGCTCCTCATTGCCTTCAGCCATGATTGTGAGGCCTCCTCAGACATGTGGAACTGTGAGTCAAGTAAGCCTCTTTCCTTTATAAATTACTCAGTGTCAACACCAACACTGACACTCAATGTTAGTCTGTGAAAGCAGCCAGGATAAGGGTTGTACCCTGCAAAGCCACAGGGGTAGAGCTGCCCAAGACCATGGGAACCCATCTCTTGCATCAGCATGACTTGGATGTGAGACATGGAGTCAAAGGAGATCATTATGGGGCTTTACGATTTGACTGCCCAGCTGGGTTTCAGATTTGCATGGCCCCTGTAGCCCCTTCATTTTCACCATTTCTCCCATTTGGAACAGTTGTATTTACCCAATGCCTATATCCCCATTGCATCTAGGAAGTAAGTAACTTGCTTTCAATTTTATAGACTCATGGGTGGAAGGGATTTGCCTTGTCTCAGATGAGACTTTGGACTGTGGAGTTTTGAGTCAATGCTGAAATGAGTTAATACTTGAGGAACTGTTAGCATGGCATAATTGGTTTTGAAATATGAGGACATGAGATTTGGGAGGGACCAGGAGTGGGATATGATTTGGCCGTGTCCCCACCCAAGTCTCATCTTGAATTGTAGCTCCCATAATTCCTTTGTGTTGTGGCAGGGACCCAGTGGGAGGTAACTGAAACATAGGGGTGGATCTTTCCTGTGTCGTTCTTCTGATAGTGAATAAGTCTCACAAGATCTGATAGTTTTATGGATTGGAGTTCCCCTACATAGGATCTCCTGCTTGCCACCATGTAAGACATGACTTTGTTCCTTATTCACCTTCAGACATGATTGTGAGGCCTCCCCAGTATGTGGATGTGTGAGTCAATTAAGACCCTTTCCTTTATAAATTACTCAGTCTTGGTATGTCTTTATTAGCAGTATGAGAACAGGTGAATACACAGTGCAAGCTTCTTTCCTTGGCCTGTAGCTGCCATCTTTTCCTGTGTTTCTTCATATCAGCTTCACTCTGTCTCTCGCTGTATCTAAATCGCTCCTTTTTATAAAGTAATCAGTCATATTGGATTGAGGCCCACCCTAGTGACCTCATTTTAACTTGATTACCTCTGCAAAGACCCTATATTCAAATAATGTCACACTCTGAAGTTCCAAAAGTTAGGATTATAATATATCTAATAGGACACAATTCAATCCATAACACCAAGAAACTGCACAACCTAGCTACCCTAGTGAACTGAGTGTTGCCTAATCCACCACATGACAAGATTGGGCATTCGCTGGAGCATTCTATTATTGAGTGAAAATTGTATCTATATGATAAAGGAGAAAGGCCCAGCAGGTCCACAGGGCAAAAGAAACTCAGAGGAGCAGAAAACTTAGACTATATGGTGCCTTCTTCCATTGCCTCAATGTCTCTCTCCCAGTGCACACCCATAGCTTCACCAGGAGTTCCCCATAACCAGACAACAGATGAAGGAAGAGAGTCAACATTATGCAAAGTAAGCTGGCACTAGCAATAAGTAGATGGCTGCTGCATCAGAGCCCCTCCCAGGGGTGTCCTGAAACATAGTAGAAAGGGAAATCTTACTGACAAATAGAACTTTAAGCAGAACATCTGCTTTTCTATTTTGCAAGGAAAAAGAGATGGACTGATGTAAGATCTGCACTGACTCATAGGTGGTGGCTAATGTGTTGGCCAGCTGCTGCCTTAAGGATTTGGAAAAAACAAGGTTGAAAGACTGGTGACACAGAGATCAAGATAGGGGAGGCATGTGAAAGAGTCTCTTGCAATGGGCACAGGGTGTGAAGATATTTGTATCTCATGGCGTGCCCTCCAGAGAACAAATTGTTCTGTCCCCTGGATATCAGCCAGCCTCCGGCCAGCTTCCTTGGGGCTTTCTGAATGCACAGTAAGTGCCAGGGTGCTGGCATGGAGGTGAAGCACAGGCTCAAGTTGTGGACTTCCTTCACCAAGGCTGATGTGGCTACCACCAGTGCTGATTGACCAAACTGCTGAGGGCAAAGGGCAGCACTGAGCCCCCTATGGCAGCATTCCCCATATTCTGTGTTAGATGGTCTCTCTTCACAGCATCAGCTCACAGGTTCCAGTAACACCATTGACTAACATTCCTCAGCAGTTGGAAGAGGGAGGAGGAGAATTTAGTTTCAGCCTCTGGAGTTGGGAGTGAGTAAGGATATTGATGTATCATAAACAACTAGTGGGCAAGGGGGAAAAGATGACAGAGTTCAGAAGCAATGTCTGGATTGGAAATAAAAGATGGAAAATTGCATTAATTCATAATCGTGGTAATGCCCCATAGGACTCTGCATTTTTAATCATTTACCTCTACTGACAGACAGGCTTTGCTTTTCAGCTGCAGTGAACAAGCTGAAGAGAACTTATCCTCTTATCTGCAAGAGTGGAAGTAATCATAGGGCGGTCCTAAAAGCAAATGTTTACCTGTGCGTTTTATCCTGAAAGTGCCAAGGGTCCAGACCTCACCTCTCTTGTACCACTTTATCTCCAGTACCTAGAAGAGAGGCTGGCACATTGTAACCACTCAAATACTTGTGAATGAGTGGAATACATGGGAGGATATAGGAATGAATGAACGGAGGGATAACCCTTTAAAGAATAATCCAGAGCTGGGGAGGGAGAAGCCATACCTGATCTTTTATTCTTCTCCAAAACCCTTGAAAAGACTGAATGAGAGGCCGCATAGAGTATCCATTAAGACCTTGAACTCTTATTTTAGGATCTACAACTTCCTAGCTAAATGGCTTGGCCAAGTTATTTAACCTTTCTGTGCACAGGCTTCCTTCCTGCAAAACAAACACAATAAATGCTTAGAGCAGCACCTGGGAAAAAGTCAAGCTCCTCATAAGTGTTAGTGTCATTTATGGCATCTTGATGAGTGTGTGAGTCTGCAAGACAATCGAGAAATTCTCTGGGGAGGGTGAATCCAGATACTCAGCTTCCAAGGGCTATTCAAGAGGGAACAATCACCTTTTCTCTTGGCCTTTCACAGGGCTTTAGACACCTCACTGCCTCCTAACATACCTTTCACTGGCAAGAGACAGAGAGGCCTGGATTTTAGTTCCAGCTGCCAGCGGTCAGCTGTGTGAGTTTGTCAAACCCCCTGCCCTCTCTGGGCCTCGGTTCCCTCGCCGGTCCACGCGAGGTTGGAGGAGCTGGGTCCCCGCGTCGCCGGCCCAGGGTCTGCGGATCTGAGGCCTCACGCCCGTTCCCCTCCCCCCGCGGCCCCTCCCGGGCCCCGCACCCTCGCGCCCCGGCTGCCGCCCAGCGCCCCGCACCGCCCTCAGGGGGGCCCTCGCGGGCTGCCCCCGGCCGGGATGCCGGTGCCTCGCGCCCCACGCGCCTGCTCTGGCGCACCCAGCCCTGCAGCCTGTCCGCAGCGCCTTTATACCCAGCGGGCTGGGCGCTCACTAATGTTTAACTCGGGGCAGTGACTTGCCAGCGGCAAGGGACTCCGCCGCCCGAGGTGACTTCTGCCTGCACTCGTTCTCCGAACGCTCACTTCCGAGGAGACGCCGACGATGAAGGTGAGTGCTGTAGGGACCTCTTCCTCAAACTCCCCAAACGGCCCAAAAGCTACCGGAACCAGACCAGGGACTCCCCTGAAGGCGGAAGCCCCAGAGCCACCCTCTGACAGGTGAGGGGACGTCCCAGAGCTCCCGCTTCGCTCTCGGACCTTGGCTTCTGCTAGGACCCGGGCGTCGAGCTTTGAATGTCCCGGAGAGCCACCCACAGAACGCACGCCCGAACCCGGACAGGGGTAGAGAAACCAACACTCATGTGCTCTGAAGGCACAAGTTCAAGGGCATCCGCTTTGGCGAACTCCGACTGGCGCACCCCAGACGCCACCCCCACCCCCAGCCCACCGTCTCCCTCTTCTAAGGCACTCCCACCTGCAAATCCTGCTGCCTCTGGGTCAGCCCCGACCCTCTCACGGAAACTGGGGCCACAGGCTTCCCTCTAATTGGATTTGATCTGCCCGGCTTGCAGACGCCGTGGAAGGTTCTCCTGGGACTGCTGGGTGCTGCTGCGCTTGTCACCATCATCACTGTGCCCGTGGTTCTGCTGAACAAAGGCAGTAAGTGAAACATTTGTAAAAGGACAGTTGGAGCTCAGGTCAGGCTCCGTCTTACCAGGAGAAGGGAAACGAGGGATTTTGCGGGGACTGGACCAGTGCCCCGGGGTGCAGCTGAGAAGGCTTCCCTGGCGTTGTTGCTGCTTGTAGAGCAGCAGCTGGGTTCACTTCGCGGGGTCTTCAGTGTTTAAACTGCAACTCCTGCCGCTTTCCCGTCTTGTTGCTTATAACAAATGCATGCTTCCTGAAATTAGGAAGGAGTCGGAATTTTAAAAATTTCGATTTTAAATTTAATTTGTAAAGTTTTAAAATTACACATAATTTTTAAGAAAAGTTTTTGGGTGTGATCTGCAAAGGAAAAAAGGCAGCGTTTAAAGAGTCCAAATACAGCAGTAATGATATCTGAAGTGGAAAGGAAAAATGAGAAACAAGCCCCAAAATATAATTTTGAGAAAACAGGTTGCACAGGTAACTCAGGTTGTTTTTCCCTCAGGGGTAGTGAGAATTCAGTTGGAGGGTGGGGAGGCAGGCAAGTAATTATTTGACCAATTTAGTAGTGGTGTAGAGCTAAATCATAGAGCTGGTATGCATGATAATATTTCAGAAGGGGCTGGAATGAGTGATGTTTGGGTGGATTATTTTATTTAAAGACTTTCATTTCTTTTTAGCTTGTCTAAATGTTCCAGTTTTGCCCCAGCTGTTAATATAAAACACTCAGATAATGAAATAGTCACTGTAGGATGCAAGCGAGAATGATTAGTTTCAGTCACCCCGGCCCTACTTTCCTTTTGAACACTTGCTTTCATTTCAGCATTACACACTATAAATTAGTCAGCCACTTGAAGCAGTCACTCTGGGTGGTTTACTCAACTGAGGAATATATAGTCAGTGCTTGCATACTCAAGGGGTCTGATCTAGATTTCAGGATGACAGTTCAGAATTAGTTTGTAGAGTTGTCAAAACTGTGCTTGCTGTGCAATTCCAGGCCAAGGCAAAGGTTCCAATGGTTAAATAAGTGAATGGATTGACCTGCTAATGAAATTTGAAGAAACCAGTGGTTGCTACAATTATAGACTATTAAATGACAGACAGTCCACTTAAGCTTGACTCTTTCTTGTGGACTGTGAAAATGTAACTATTTTCATAAAGCAACACTTTGTATAAACCATACTTGCAAAGCCTTGTGGGAGAAGAATAGGCAATTCATACAATTGATAAATATAAGGCTTGCGGGCTTACATTATGTACCAGGCACTGTGTTAGTTGCTACAAATACAAAGATTAAATTTTGTAAATGTAAATATAAAGGTCCCTGACCTCAAGAGCTGTATAAGCTAGTGGGAATATGCAAACAAATGTGATTTATTTTACGTGTGTATGTGTGTGTACAAAAACATACACAGAAATAATCGGTATAGGCTGTTTGTCTCCAAAACATCACTGAGGCATCACAGCATGGCTGGAAGTTTAGGTAAAACTATAATCATCAGAACTTCCTTTAAAGAAAGTTGGAAGGAATACTGTACTTTGATGAACCACATGAGATGGTCAGTGAAATGCCCTAGGGACCTGGGGCTTGCTGCAATTAACTCGGGATTTTGTTTTGCTAGGTAGGGTATATAGGCCAGGAAGGGCTGTTTTGTCATTTCTGCTAAATTTTGCCTGGTGTGTTCTCCAAATGAAATTTGAACACACTTCAAGAATGTTCTCGAGGAGGACTTCCTGACAGACTCACATGTCTCTAACTACTCCTAAGATTCAAAGATAACTTAGAGGTGGTTGAGTAAACTGCTCTGAAGATTAGAAGGAACACTTCTGGGAAAGTCAGGAGAAGCTTCTTATAAGGTTTCTTTGGTGGGGAAGCTTAAATAGTTAACATCAGTTTCTGGAGATAAGATATTCCAGAAAATGTGAATGTCTTATGTTTCAACACAGAGACATTGAAAGGATCCAGGGCCCCAGAGGAGGGTGGGCAACAGGCAAAGGAGTTTAATTCTAAGCTGGAGATGATGTAGTGAATGAGCTTTTGAGCCATGAGGCTGGAAAGGTAAGTTGCAATGGAGCAACCTTGGAGGGGAAAGTGAGGGAAATGGCCCAGGGCACTTACAGTACAGGTCAGAATTTAGAGACTCCAGAGCTACTCAGAAATGTGAATGACTGGAATTCAGTAACTGGTTAAATGTGGAGTGGTAAAGGAGAGGATGGCTAAGCTCTTGGGCAACCAAGTGGAGATGTGGTTTTATGGTGGCTTTATTTACTTACCACTCTAGTTATTTCTTGCCTGTATTTCTTCATTTGTATGTATGTATGTTTAAGGAAACAGGGAAGTCATCTTGTTAACACTTTTGCCTTATCATAAGGAATAGAGATAAAAGCTCAGGAATGCAGCATTTTCACTAAATCAGCAATACCTTTCCTGGGCTCTACCTCAATAAAGGTCAGCATTCTTACAAAGAAGTCAAAGTCTTCACCCAAGAAATGCCTTCCATATTGTCAATCAAGCTTTCAAGTCAAACAAATACAGCAAAGGAAGAAAAGAGGAAGTAGGGAAGAAGGAAACATAAAGGAAGGGGAGGGGAAAGGAAAGGAAGATGGAAGGAAAGGAATTTGATAGAAAAAACAAAGCAAAGACCTAAATTATGTGGACACTAAAGAATTATACAGCCAAAAGGAAGGGGGAAGCAGTGAGCAAACCCAAGTTTATCCCCTGAGAGGCTGGTTTAAGAGGTCAAGCATTTCCATATGAAATGCTCATATTTAGCAAAACTAGACACACCCAGAACAGGAGGGGGAATACTGGACGGCAAGCAAGGGTGAGAGCCAGAGCAAGAGCCAGAGAGAGAGAGAGAGAGAGAGAGAGAGAGAGAGAGAGGCTTAATACTATTATCATATATTTAAGAATAAAAACTCCTTGAAGTCAGATTATTCATTTCACCAAGCACAGTTAAAAGTTCACCCTCATTTGTGTATATAATAAATGATTGCATGTTTTAATTTTTTTCAACTATTCTACTATAGGAGGATATTGTACATGTAAGCATTCAGTTTCCCCAAGAATCAGTAAGAAATATATAAAAATACTTGTATGGAATTGTACAACACTTCATGGCTTAGTGAAGGGAAATAAAGCCTTCTCGGTCAGCATTTATGGTTCATTTATTTTTCCTTTTACATTATATTTTATCTTAAAATTTAAAATATTTGGCTATTTGTCAAATAGTTTTATTATTATTGAATTTTATTATGGAATAGAATTATCTGTCTTCTTTTGCTCTTTTCACTGCTTTAGCAGTAAATTTCTTCTATACCTACTTTCAGTGCAAAGGAAATTTGACTGCTCTCTCATCCATCAGTTATAAAAGAAAACCCAAATGTGAAGGAGACAGGAATAATTAGAGAGAAAAGATAGCATCTACGAGGTTTGCCTGAGGAAGTCCAGGACCTGTTCCAGGTTTAAAAGCACAGAAATTAGCCTGAATGAAAGCTTTGTACATTTAAGGGGACAATTTCTAAACAGTATGCTCTGTAAAAGCTGGAGTTGACTCCAGTTTGCTCAGTTAACTATTGTCAACCTTTGCAGAATGCTCCTGAGGTCCGCAGGTTAGTCCTTTTCAGGCCAGTTATTTTGGCTTTTGCTTTGCTAACCATGCCTTGTGCCTTAAGTTTCTCTGCCTTAGAAATCTCTTGCTCTTTTTTCAAAGGGGATCAGAAAGAGAGAGAAAAGGAAGACTATTTACCCAATTAATGGTCAAAGAAAGATAACATAAAAAGACTGGAGCTGGATCAGTGTCTTTCAAATTTTATGACTTAAAAAAGTACTGAGGCCCATGGATAACGCAGGCGTAAATAACATGCAGGAGCTTCTTGCTTGAGGAAGAGAAGGCATGCAAGCATGCAATAATAGCCAATATGCATTTACTATGTGCTAAATTTGGGGCTGAGGGCTTTCAATGTATTTTTTTATTTAATCCTTAGAACAACTCTTTGAAAGAGAGGTACTATTACCCTCTCCATTTCTACAAAAGATTTATAGAAACTTTGAGAGTGTACTTTAGTTTTCTATAATTCCATAATGAGCTACCTCAGAACTTAAAACAATAAATATCTGTTATCTCATTGTTTCTGTGGATACAGAATTTTGGAGTGGCTTAGCTGAGTGGTTCTGCCTCAGGATGTCTCATGAGGTTGCAATCAAGATGTTATCTGAAAGCTCGACTGGGCATGAAAAATCCCCTTCCAAGCTCACTCATGTGGCTGTTAGCTAGAGGTCTTAGTTCCCCAGTATGTGGGCCCCAGTTCCCTGCTATGTGGGAATTATATTATAATTTCATGACTTCTAATCTCTGTGTGCAAAGTGTGGAGGAAGAGCCTACTGCTGATGCCTTCATTCCTGTATAAAGCTGTGTATAGGTAATGACTGACCTCTCAAGCTTTTGAATGGTTCTGTTAAGTAGTAGTAGTAATAATAGGTCCAGATTTACTTACTTGCACTAAATTATACTTAGGATAATATGGTAGCTACTTTCTCTTAGAATGAAGGATCCAAGAGAGGAATGAAGCAGGAAGCTGAGTTTCCTTTTGTAACCTAGCCTCGGAAGTGGCAGGAATACCATTCCTTCTGCTGTGGACTATTGGTCACCCTGATACAATGTGGGAGGGCACTACACAAGTGCATAAATACCAGGAGGTGGAGATCACTGGGAGCCATCATGGAGGCTGGCTCTAATGACTATCAAAGAAGTTAAGGAACTTGCTCAAAGTTCCACAAAGCTGGGATTCATACTCAGGCAATGTGACTCTACAGCTGATACACAGTACTGTTCAACTCCCTATCATTCTATCGGCTTGTAATCAAGTATAAAATCAACTTGGCCATATTAGCATAATTGTTATAATTTCTCATTTGCATGGCTATATTATAATTTTGTGACTTCTAATCTCTATGTGTTAAGTGTTCTGAGGAAGAGCCTACTGCTGATGTCTTCATTCCTATCTAAGACTGT